CTGTCTGCCCTGCCTGGTGCTGCCTGCACTGCCTGCCCTGCCTGTGTTGCCTGCACTGTCTGCCCTTCCTGGTGCTGCCTGCACTGCCTGCCCTGCCTGTGTTGCCTGCACTGTCTGCCCTGCCTGGCGCTGCCTGCACTGCCTGCCCTGCCTGCACTGCCTGTGCAGAGAGACCCCAGCCAGCCAGAGAGCGTGTACCCCCGGGGGAGAGAGGGACCAGGCGTGGGAAAAGGGGCTTTGGCCCCCCAAGATGTCCCCTGGCTGTCGGGGAAATGCAGCCTGAAGTGCAGACGAGCTGGAGCTGGGATTGGCAACCGAGGCAGGGAGTGTCTGGGTGTATTTGCATCTATCTATGTATATGTTTATATATCAGAGCTTGGGAAGTTCAAGCCAGCAGGAAAGTTTCGTCCAGAGGTTTGTATCTGAATCTGGGCATGAACACTTAGGAAATCAAGTGAGCTTTTAAATCAAGTATAGTTAAACCTGCCTGACTTACCCAGTTAAATTACTTTTAAAGAAACAGCTTAATCCTTCTGCTTCTGAAGTCAGACTTAATGGGCCCTTTACACTTCCCTTAAAGGCCAAACATATTTTAAGGTCACAGATATCTTTGAAATCACATTTCTTCCTTCCCATCTACTTTTTTTTTCCCCCCAATAAACAGCTGCACTTCCAGAGTTTACAAAATAAATAAATTAAATGAAAAGACATTTCCCAGGAAGATTTTTTTTTTTTTCCTTTTAAAGTGCCCTGGTCCACACAAACCAAAAAGAAGAGAGAAACGATCAATCTTTTTCTCGAAAGACTTCTGACAGCTCAGCCTAACTCAGCAATTAAATCTGGCTTTTGCAAAAGAGTTACTTAAGACAGAAAATATTTTAAAAGTTTAATCCAAGGACCTGAATTCCGGAAGCCTGAAAAGTAAAAATTTCGGGGGGAAAAAAAAAAAAAAAGAAGAAAATAAGATGCCTGCTACAGACGAGAGATGTGGCCGGTTTGTAGTTTGTTTGTTCAAGCTCCAGTTCTCCCATTTTGCAGCAGAGAGAGGCACTGGCAGGCTGCATTCACAGGGGGAGAAGCCTAGAAACTTTTGTCAGTTCAAGCATCTGTGTGGGTGGGAATGGTTTCTGAGAAACACATAATAAATCTAAAGCTGAAGCAGAAGAGCAGTTTAGCAAAAGGGGTGAAGAAAACAACTTTTTAAAAAGAAATAAACCCAAACATTTGCAAAAGGCAGCTCTATTGAAGGGAGAATTTCCCTAAATATTTTGTGTATTTGAATGCTCTGGTCGCAATCAGCATCAATCTACTCAGTCTCGGCACATTAGGACTGATGTAAAAATTAATCATTGAATTTCTGATTATTTCTTGCTCGCTCGGATTAAAATGGCATTTTGGGGGTCTCGGGCTTTGTCATGAGGCCGCCGGTTCCTCCCTGCTCTTTGAGAGACACCGGGGAGCTAGGATACAGCAAGACAGTTTGGGATGCGAAAGGAAACTCCTTCTTGTCGCTCCCAACTGTTCTCGTTGCCTTTGCTACCACTAAAGTTGCAAGGGGGAAAAAAAAAGGGAGAGAGAAGAAAAAAGAACCTCTTGGGGAAAGAGGGATTTTTCCCACGCACCAGGCGGAGGCACAAGGAAAAAATAAATCTGCTGGCTCGAGGGGAAAGGCGTAATCTTTTAAAAATAAATTCACATGGCTAGTGAAGGACAGAGAAATGCAAGAACTGGAAGACAAACCCGGGCCTGCTTCCCTAGTGCATCAGGGCAATAATTTGTGGGTGTGAGGAGGTGTAGGAGAGGGAAACCACCGAGAACCCGAGGGGTGTGTCACCCTCTGAGCCTCCGAATTGCCTTCTTTTTATTGATTTATTTCATTTTCCCCCCGATTTTGACTAGTTCCTGGGAATCCCTGACACAAATCCCAGCAACATGGCGACCAGGATACCAGAGGGAAAAATATATTCGGTGAGGGGGGGGGGGAGCCAACGACAAGCCCAAGCCGAGCCCTTGTTCTCTGAGCCGACCCCAATCAGGAAAAATTTATGGGGGGGGGGGGGGGGGGAGCCAACGACAAGCCCAAGCCGAGCCCTTGTTCTCTGAGCCGACCCCAATCAGAACCTGCACGCTTTTATGCTTTTAAATTACAGTATCCCTGAATGGTAAATTGCTCTCTGCATGGACGGGCACAACCCAGCCCCGTTCCTAGAGAGAAAAACAAGCCCTGTCTCTCTCTTATACCGTTATTTATTATTGCGGAGAGGTTATAATTATTAACCTGGAACTTCATTTATTAAGAGAGATCAGAGATGGCAAGAAGCGCCATTCCTCATGTAAAGCTTTCTCCACTCGACCTTTTTATGCGAGTGGGTTTATGGCACCTCTGGATGTCCCTGGCTGGGCACACCTGTCTGTATAAAATACACACTCTCTCTTTCTACGGCCCAGCCCTTTTTTCAGTACATTTTACAGCCTTTTCACCCCTTTTCTCCCGGCAGCAATGAAACCCCCCTTTTCCTTTCCTCCAGAGGGGACCTTCCCCTCTCCATCAGCCACAGAAAAGGAGCATTTCCAACCTGACAAGCACCCCTTTTCCAGAACCATAAAACTTTTATTGGCC